CCCCTTTTTAACACATTTCATCTCGGTGAGGTTATCAACCGCTAGTATTATACAGCACTTTCAAAATACACAACCGGCCATAAAATGAATAGTTCTCTAATCAACCATAGAGCAGATTTAGCACAGAACACAAATTTCTACACCGTTTGTAAGGAACAGGTTTGGAGAATATCATTTAGTATAAAAAATTACTGAAGGTAAATCTTCAGGCACAATCTTCCGTGGTTATTATATAACTTAGTAAAAACCAACACTACTTTAGAAACATTGGCATCACTTTCCGTCAAAAAAATATGTTTATTTAAACAATTCATCCCCATCGCATGTTTCACTAATGTAAAAATGAGTGCTTTATTTTTTCATATTAGGTTGCGTGATTTTTTATTTGATTGCTTATTTTGCTGAAAATATTTTTTGTCATAGCGATTACGTGTGAACACAGGCGCCTTGCATTGTTAGATCTGCAGCGATTCTGTTATTTTTTGCCTACTTTTTTGAGTGAAAGTACTGTTGTTTTTACTTGTGTCGTCCTTGCCACCATCTGCACGTCCCTGCCGAGCAAACGGGGGTGGCTTCGCGGCTCGACGCCACCCCTTCGACTCCCTCGTAGAATGGAGGGAAGTAGGGCGGATGTGTGTTGCGGCTCGTCGCAGCCACTGGGGAGCAGGACTGCGGGCGCATAGATGCGCTCCGATAAGAAAACGAAATCTAGAAACGCGTCCAAACGGAGGGTTTTTACAGAAAGCCGCAAAATGCTGCCCCGGCGTTATATCGTTTTAAAAAAGATTTTATTTAGTGGTTTTCGATAATGCTCAGCAAGTTTTTGATTGGAGCTATATGTCTATTTGCGCTAAATAAAAAAATTAATTAACGAATTTCACTTAGTCAGCCGACTAATAGTTGCGACTATCTCCCTATACAATGACCTCTTGACTGTATTGGGGAGGAGATTGAACAGTAACGCCTCTAGCGGCAGGCTTCAACTGCGTGGCGAATAAACTGAACTTTGTGGTTTTGTTGTTGATCACAAAAATGTATGATGATGATACGAAGGCGAAGGATGATACGTGCGTCAAAAGCATTGGTCAAAGCGAAGCGCTCGTGCCAAGACCGCACTAGGCGATGTTCAAGTTCTTTGTTTTGCTTTGTTAGTAAACACCGGGCTGTGTGGACAACAAGCTCAATAAAGCGCCCCCTTTAGTTCGATCTCTGCCCAATAACCCACCTGCACAAACCGCATGAGTTACGGCTTTTTTAAAAAAAAATGTGAAGGAATCAGTAAAAACATCCCATATCTATCTATCTATCTATGTATATATATTGTAAGGAAACGATGTTACAAACTGATGGGGGTTTATTATTTACAGTGTGGTAGCTAGGTTGAGAGAAAGGCCGTTGGGAATCCAGCTAGTCGCGCGCTCTGCCCGAACGAACCTCTTCCTCCTCGTCTTCCCTCAGCCTCCGTGTTTTTCCCCAACGCACCGTAGATCTCATCTTCGTCACAATGCCCTCTTGGTAGAGATAGCCATCCTGGCGAAGCTGGTATTAGGTGTGGTCAGTAGGGGGGCAGTAGAGTTTAAGGCGGTTGACATGGGCCGTTTCACGAGAACGTCGGCGGCGATCGGCGGGTGGGGAGAGAGGCTCAATTTCGTAGTTTACAGGTGAGGTCTGACGAAGCACGCGATATGGGCCTGTGTAGTTTGATAACAGTTTCTCGGAGAGACCGGGTTGGCGTTGTGGAATCCACAAAAGGACGAGATCGCCGGGTGTGAAAGAAGTCGGGTGGGATGTATCATCGTGACGGCTTTTTTGCTGTCCTTGCAGGTGTGTCGTGCGTGCTCGCGCTAGCTGGCGGCATTGTTCAGCATGATTTCTGATTTCGGTGACTGGAAGGCATTCAGAAGGATCGGGTGAATAGGGTAACAAGCGATCTAACGTTGAAAAGACCTGCCTTCCGTAAAGAAGGAAAAATGGTGAAAATTGAGTAGTGCTTTGAACGGCGGTATTGTAGGCGAAGGTTACGAACGGAAGAACCTTGTCCCAATTACGATGATCGGGGGAAATGTACATGGCGAGCATATCGGCAAGTGTTCGGTTGAAGCGCTCGGTCATGCGGTTGGTCTGCGGATGATATGGTGATGTTGTTCGATGGACGACACTGCAAGCTCGCAAGACCTCTTGAATGATTTTAGAGAGAAACACAGTTCCGCGGTCGCTGAGGAGTTCTTTCGGGGCACCATGACGGAGAACAACCTGGTTCAAGAGAAAGTTGGCCACATTTTCCGCTGTGGCGGTAGGCAAAGCAGCAGTTTCAATATAACGCGTTAGGTGATCAATGGCGACGATGATCCAGCGATTTTCAGAGGAGGAGTGAGGAAGTGGGCCAAAAAGATCTATTCCGACACGGTTGAATGGTCGTTCTGGGCACGGAATGGGTTGAAGCAGGCCTTGAGATGAATATAAAGGCCGCTTACGGCGTTGGCATGAGAGGTATGATTTCAAAAACTTTTGGACGCTTCCATAAAGCCCTGGCCAGTAGTACCGTGAGCGTACCCGATTGTAGGTCTTGAGTAGACCTCCGTGACCACATGTTGGGTCGTTGTGGAGGCATTCTAAAACCTCACGTCGCAAGTGACGAGGAATGGTAAGAAGCCAATGGCAGCCTTCGGGCGAATAGTTGCGCCGGTAGAGAAGGCCATTTCGAATGCGAAAATGCTTGGACTGTCTTTGTAGTGAGCGGTTTGGGGAAGATGCAGGGTCTCTGACAACAGCCGAAATTTTAGATATCCAAGGATCTCTTGCTTGTTCTTGCTCCATGTCGCCAATGTTTAACGCCGATAAGGTGATAGGGTCTTCATCAGTGTCAGGTAGGTCTGGTGGTTCAGAGTGCAGAAGACATCTAGAGAGACCATCGGCGTCGCCATGTTTGCGGCCGGATTTGTACAGAACAACGAAGTCGTACTCTTGCAGCCGCAGCATCCATCGACCAAGGCGTCCCGTGAGATCTTTCAAAGATGACAGCCAGCAAAGCGCGTGGTGGTCGGTCACAACGTTGAATTTTCGGCCATAAAGATATGGACGGAACTTGGCAACTGCCCAGACGACTGCCAAGCATTCTTTTTCAGTTACGGTGTAATTTCGTTCTGGTTTTGTGAGAGCCCTGCTTGCATAGGCAACAACGTAGTTGCCGAAACCTGTCTTGGTTTGTGCGAGCACAGCCCCAACTCCAAAGCCGCAAGCATTAGTGCGAAGTTCTGTTGGGGCAGTAGGATCAAAATGCCGAACTATCGGGGCAGATGTTAAAATATCTTTAAGCTGGTTGAAAGCAGCCTCGCACTGCGATGTCCAAGAAAATGGGTGTGAGGATTTCTTTAGAAGATCCTGCAGGGGTGCCGCTATGGATGCGAATCCGTGTACAAAACGTCGAAAATAGGAGCAAAGTCCAAGAAAACTTCGAATTTATTTTTGGGTGGTTGGCCTGGGCATGTCAGAAACGGCCTGAATTTTCCTAGGGTCGGGTTGAACGGCTTCTTTGGACACGAGATGGCCAAGCACTTTCATTTGCCGCGCTGCAAATCGACATTTCTTTGCGTTGAGCTGAAGGCCGGCGTTGCTGAGACAGGATAATACGGCGGTTAATCTACACAGGTGCTGCTGAAATGTGTTTGAAAATATTACTACGTCGTCTAAATAGCACAGGCATATTTTCCACTTGAGGCCGCGCAACACTGCATTCATCATACGTTCGAATGTTGCCGGCGCGTTGCATAAGCCGAAGGGCATGACGGTGAACTGGTACAGGCCATCGGGTGTTACGAAAGCTGTTTTTTCTTGGTCGTTGGAGGCCATAGGAATTTGCCAATAGCCTGAATGGAGGTCTAGACATGAAAAGTACTCCGCTCCCTGCAAGCAGTCGAGGGCATCGTCGATTCTTGGCATTGGGTATACATCTTTTCGGGTGATCTTGTTTAATCTTCGGTAGTCAACACAAAATCTGATGGTGCCATCCTTTTTCTTGACAAGGACGACTGGTGACGCCCATGGACTCGTAGAGGGCGTGACGACACCTTTGTCAATCATGTCGCTGACCTGGTTATCGATGACGCTTCGTTCAGACGCTGAAACTCGGTATGGGCGTTGACGCAGGGGATTCTCGTTGCCCGTATCGATGTGGTGAACTACCGACGTGGAACGTCCCAAGGTGGATTGCGGGCGATCAAATATGGAGCTAAACTTGCGTAGAACGGCAAGGAGTGAGGCCTTTAGGGACGAATCAAGGTGGTTATCTATAGTCGCTAACAAGAACTGGTCCTCGTCCTCTTGCTGCGGGGCTAATGGACAACAATATTCAGAAAAAGAATTATTGAAATCAAAAACTTCGATAGCTTCGCATGGCTCAGCGAAAGCAACGACTGTATTTGCAGGAAGCATTATTGAAAGAGAAGACATATTTAAAGCCATAAGGAATGCGGTGCCATTGTGAAGGTGAAGCGGAGAAAAAGGGACAAGGATACCTGTCTTACGAAAAAAAACTGCGGAAGGGGAGACCATTAGAGGAGACGCCGAGACTCTGGATGATTGAATCGGTAAAGGAACAGACGAAAATGGAGGAATTTGTACGTCATCAAGGAGGGATAATTTGATCGTGTGCACAGCAATGTTGTCGTCGGGAAGGTGGATTTGAGCGAAATCTACTTCTGCACGTCCACAGTCGATAACAGCGTTTGTTGCTTTTAAAAAGTCCCACCCAAGAATGACGTCGTGAGAGCAGGAAGACAACACCAGTAATTGGACACAGTAACACACTTCTTGAATGACAACACGTGCTGTACAGACACCGGTCGGGACAACATTTTGTGCTCCAACAGCTTTAAAGGGGCGACCAGAAAACGGGGTTGTGACTTTCTTCAACTTACGACAAAGGTCAGCCCGAAGAACTGACACTGCGGCACCGGTGTCAATTAATGCTTGAGTGCGCAAACCATCAATAACTATATCTATCATATTTCGGGTAACTGGACGAGGACTTAAAGATGTGAAAGGATTTGCAGCTCTCGCCTCTGGAACTGCTCCTAGCAGTTTCCCTCTGCAATGGGCGATGTAGTGCGTGGTCGCAGGGGAGACAGCGAACGCCGCCTGGGAGATGGAGATCTGCCCTGCCTTTGCCGTGGTTGTGGTTCAGTGTAATCTTGGTGTGAATACTGATCACTGCGTCGACCAGAACCGAAAGCTGGTCGATACTGCGCTTGCAGTGGGGCAGCGTAACTCTCAGAGTTTCCACGGCGACAAAAACGGGCGATATGCCCAACATAGCCACATGAAAAGCAAATGGGACGATTTTCTGGCGTCCTCCATTGGTCAGCCCTGCGTGCTTGCCAGCGAGGAGGAGAAAATGGCGGCTGTGGTTGGAAGACCCGAGCAGGTATCGGGCGTGTTAGCATCTCGGCATACGTTGGCACCTGAGGCACTAGCGGCGGTGACGCGGCCGGCGGCATAACGGCGCAAGGAATCGCGGCTTTGACTTGATCCTCAATTAGCGCTCTGATCGAAGGCGAGATAAAGGACTCCGGAGGGGTCGAAGGCTTTCCTAATTGGCGAGCCACTTCGTCACGTACGATCTCTTGAATGACGCATCGGAGTTCTGCCCATTTGTCGACGGAGCCTTCGATTGCAGTTGTCAGGCTGGCCAGCTCAGCGGGAGGTTCCAGTTTGCGTTTGGCTGGCAAACGCTGAAGGCGCAGCTCAGAGAAGTTCTGGCAGATGTCGATGACTTCAGAGACAGTCGTTGGCGCTTTGACGACAAGGATCTGGAAAGCATCTTCGGCAATGCCTTTCATGATGTTCTTCAGTTTTTCATCTTCGGTCATGCGGGTGTCAACGCGCTTGCACAACTTCAGGACATCTTCGATGTAGCTAACGAAGCTTTCATCGTGCAGTTGGGTGCGTGATGCCAATGTCCTCTTCGCGACGAGCTTCCGCTGGGCTGGCTTCCCAAATACTTCCTGGATCTTTGCTTTGAACTGGGGCCAGGTCACCAGCTCTGACTCATGGTTGGTATACCATAGTTTTGCAACGTCGGTCAAATAAAAAATTACGTTATTGAGCTTCACGGTGTCATCCCATTTGTTGTGGAGGCTCACCCTTTCAACTGACTCCAACCAGTCCTCAATGTCATCGTCACCGATTCCGCTGAAGAGCTTTGGGTCCCGCTGACGGAGGGCTCCCGCGCATAGGATAGTGGTTGCACTTGCAACAGTAGGTGCCTGGCCAGGAGTGGTGTCCTGCGCTGCCTCGTCCGAGGCTCCTTGGCGTGATACCGGTTGGCGTCGCATCGATTTCAGTGGTGTAGGATGCAGGAACACTTACGAGTGAAGTCCGGATAGTTGGGGAAACCCGCACCTCCACCAATTGTAAGGAAACGATGTTACAAACTGATGGGGGTTTATTATTTACAGTGTGGTAGCTAGGTTGAGAGAAAGGCCGTTGGGAATCCAGCTAGTCGCGCGCTCTGCCCGAACGAACCTCTTCCTCCTCGTCTTCCCTCAATATATATATATATATATATATATATATATATATATATAGCATATATATGGGGGGTTCAAGTCACCAGGTTCGATCTAAAATGGACCGTACAAATCGACGCGTGCACGTAGCAATCTAAACTTTTTATCGAAGGTGTTATTCACATGTCGTTTCTTTTTTTTTTTGTAAAATTACAAAGCGTAGCTTTCTTTCCGTAAAAATTAAGGCCAAGAATTTTGCCAGGGTCTACGGCAGGCAGCAACGCAGACGGCAGGGGTCCAGTAGCGGGGTGTGTTTGGCGTTCGTATTGACAGATGGCGCTAACTCCTTATCGAGAATAATCGAGACTGTTAGCGACCACCGTGGTTTATTAAAATGAATATAATCTTTCTAAATCGTACCTTCGGTTAAAAAAATAATGCGAACAATAAGAGCAAAACTCAAAGTAAAAAAACGCGTCTGCATAAAGGCTTCGCTATAGCTGCTAACGGATTTCGTGTGCGTTTCGTCTGCTATCTTTCGCTGGTCGGCCGCACCTGCAGGCGGCGCTCCCTACGCCATCTATTAATAAAAACGCCAAGCACACCCCGCTACTGGACTTGGTCGTCTGGGTCGCCTCCCGCCGTAAAAGCCTGGCAAGTTTCTGGGCTCTATTGTTTACTAAAAGAGAACAACGCTTTATAATTTTACAGGAAAAAACCGACCTGTGAAATACATTCTTGACGAAAAGTTTAGATGGCTACCTGCAGGCGTCGATTTTTACGATCGATTTTAAATTGAGCCTGGTGACTTGAACCACCCTATATATATATATATATACGGTGTTTGAGAGAACGCAGGCCAAATCGCTCCTGCGAAAACCAACCATCGCACAGAAAAAGGTTCAAGGGCAACTGCAAAGAAAAAAAGTTTTTTTTTTAAACAGCCTAATTGGGACAAGCATGTCAAAAAACAGTTTGTTAGCGAGAAAAAAAAATTACATCAATATTTATTGCGTGAGACTAATTTTAGTTTGCGGCTATTTCGCCCGTTTTAAATCGCGCGCCACGAAGTTGGGATTTTGTGACGTTGAATCCCAATCGCCATCTATACTTCTCATTGCCTAAGAGTTTGATTGACAGCTTAGATCTTGGTTGTTAAACCTTTGTTATATGGTGCAATTTCCTTTTGAGCGGCATATTTTTACGGTTAAAGAATAACCCATGTGATGAGAGTTATTATTCTTTACAAAAGGTTTACAAAAGGGGCACTTCCGTTTAAATTCATACCATAAAAAAAAAAACAAAAAAAGCTTCGCCATTTTTTCATGGCCGCCGAAGTCTCCGCTGCCGCCTGTCTCGCCTACCTTGACTAATCGTTTCGCCGAAGTGATCAGTGTTTCGCACTGACCCAGGTGCTTGAGTCAGACTTCTTGAAGTGAAGAAGAGTGTGTTTAGCAGCTGTCGCAGGTGTTAGTGACAGGAAGCGACACGGGATTTCGGCTTTCATAGCGCGGTTCTTTCGTTTTCCTTTTTGCTTGCTTAGCGTGTTTTCTTGATGTTCTTTTTTTTTTTTTTTTTTTTTTTTTTGGGGGGGGGGGGGGGGGGGGTTGCTCTTGTTCGTGCAAATACTGACTTTTCGGAAATGTCAGATGAGTGATCCCGACAGCGAGCCTCCCAGCAGCCATGTCGACCCGAAAAGAATGCTATTTGGCTGGAGGCAATCGAGCGTTCACGTAGCAACAAACGTGTCCAGTAACGTTTTTGTCATATCGCTCCGGAGGCCGCCGAGATTCGCACCGGGTGCCCCGGGTGCATCGAACGTCCTCGACCGGACAGAGATGTTACGTTTAAAAGCCTGGCAGAGCCAAGTGATTACGTAATAGCAGTGGCGTACCAACTTGTTCTTGAGTGGGGGGGGGGGGGGGGGGGGGGGGGGGCAAACCAGACCCTCTCCCCTCTCCCCCTCCCCCCCTGGGTCGCATATTTTTACTAGTGATGGGCCGAACTTTAGCCGAATCGAAAATTCGGCGCAACTTTTGCCGAATTTTTCTAAAGATTTCGCAATGATTCGGCAAAAATACAATGTTATCAGACTTAACAGTGATATTTTGTTTTTTTTTAACGAAAAAAATTTTGTTTTTTCTTTTTAAAATAAAAGTTATGACTAAATGAGGTGGTCTTTTACAAGATAATTGTATCGATGTCGCTTTTGTGTGTTAAGGTGCAACCCCACCCTTGGTTAGTGTGATTCTGAACCAACAGATGGCGGTGGGATCGCCTTCCAGGCCTGTACATCAAAGCGAGAAATCGTGTGTGGTGGCGCTTTGATACAGTGGGATATTTTTCTATATCCTGAATTTGACATCCCTGGTCCCTTGCTTGTTTTTCTCTGCACGAACTTTCTTTGGAACGCGCACGGCTGTGCCAGTTCTCGTGCTAGGGGGCCAGTTGCCTACGCTCCGAGCTCACGTCTCAAGCATATGGGGGCAGAACAAAACGCGAAAATAGTTATGAGCCAAATGGCGAGACACACGCACAACAAAACCACCGACGCGTTAAAATATATAAAATTGCCTGTGCGCCGTTATCGGAGATTTCAGAGGTCAGTTACACATATTTCAATGTGGTTAGATTTATATTGACACGAATGAAAGTGACGGAGGACGAACAGTGAACTGAAAAATAAAGGTTTCATCGGTGAACTTGTTCCAAACAAAAAAAAGTAAACAAAGAGCGTCGAGGCAGCAGAAGAGCAGGCGGCGATTCGGCAACGTAACAGAGAGTGAGAGCGACACTAAATAATAATTAGGTTGTGGGGATATTTATACAGCGTGTAGTTGGTCTGCCATTGAAGTTGCGAACAGTCACACGCTGTAGATGAGCAATTTAGCCAGTGCAGTACAACCGCTAGCCTGGGGTCTTTAACGTGCACAGAGCGACACTGCTTATCATTGTACAGTGCGTCACCATCTCGGAAGTTCGGTAAAGAAGGTTCGAGCGTCACGCGCTCGGAGCGAGGATGAACTGGCACTTTCGGGAACAAGAAAGCATGGCCAAAGTTACGTCTGGTAGAACAATGAACGCGAATCATCTAGAATTGCGTGACCGAACGTTGCTTTTTTGGCTCTGCGTGCGGCAATATGACGGGCTGGCCCTATTGTCGTGCATGTGTTTGGCTCTTTGTGCATTTCCAGGAAACGTGATGACGTGATAGACTTGGGTTTCCAAAATTCTAGCTTGAAAAATTAACTACCTAAAAAAATAAAGAAATATATATATATATATTTTTTTTTTTTTGGCGGGGGGGAGCGGTCAGGTGTCCTATTTAGGTGGCTGGCTGTCAATTTTGACAGAAACCACGAGACTGGAAAACACAAAAAATGACACTCAGGTTTAGATGTCGAGTTTGGTAAACCCAAAGTAGGACTGTCATAATAAAAAAAAGAAAGTCATAATAAAAAAAAAATGCCGAGGTTAAAAATGAGCTCACAGTAATTTACGATACGAATTATATTTTAATACGAATTCAGTGATAAATGCAACGACTGGCCAGGCAAAGATTCTGGGTCTGTAGATAGCCTTTGCACATAGTTTAAGCAATGTACAGGTGTCACAAAACAAAAAATTAAATTTTTTTTCCCTCGAGAATAAATTTGGTATCCCCGAACGCTCATTCCACGCCCACTGTAGTGCTAGAGGTCACACCCAGATGTCAAAGTTTCAGCCCGATCCGATACCTTATTCAAAAGTTATGAGTGATTTTCTGAAAAGTTCAATGGGAAAATAACGGCTGACGGAGTTTTCGAATACATGGAATTCTATGGCGCCAGAAACCGAAAACGCGCAAAAATGGGCTCCATTTTTTCCCATTGAACTTTTCAGAAAATCACATAACTTTTGAATAAGGTGTCCGTTCGGGATGGAACCTTGGCATCTGGTTGTGATTTAGTGCAAGCTCTGGGCGGAGAATGAGCGTTAGGTGATGCATAGTTTATTTTTGCGGTAAAAATAAAAACATACTTTTTTTTGTGGCACCCTGTACCAGTCTTAATTTGGTGATTTATGCGCGCAAGTAGTAGTGTGCAAAAATGAAAAAGATGCAAACAGGTAGAGTTTGACGTTATATAAAATATAGTGTAAGCACGCACATGGTACGCTGATTAAGAATGAAACAGCTCTACATTTCACACTAGCGGTGAGGGTATCGAAAGTTAAGGGTGCATCAAAGCTAAAGCATGTACACATATGCTGCTCAGGCCATTATGTTTCAATGTTCATAGCACTTTGTTACCCTCAGATTTGGTGTAAGTTGTCTCCTGATTGCTTACAACAGAAAGAAGGAATCATTCTAACTCTGGGCTGATAGAAAATCTCCACCTGCTGGCAGCTACCAATCATCTTGGCACCGATTATGAGTATTCACTGCATGCCAACGGTCGCGTGCTTAGAACGAGTTTTCCCCACGTGATTTCATACAATCACAATTGTTCTTTACAAACAACAATGTTTACTCAGACAAGCGGTCAGATGTGAAGCTTAGGATATTTTTTACTGATTGTGGCACACATGGCAAGTTGCATAGTTTTTTTTTTACAATCCGCGAAGTAGAATGCTCCTGAATTACCTTGGTCTCTAGTGCATATAGCACACAGAAGAGCACGAACTCAATCGCAGTGGGAAACGAAAACAATAATGATAAACAAGCATTTAATCACGCGAAAACTGAGGGAACTGCACATAAACAAAAGGCAACTTTGTTTCACTAACTACATTACCAGTAAAGCATCCTGTTCTATCGTGCGAGTGAAGCGGAACATACAAGTACG